GTCTACTGAACACTTTTTCTTTAGTAAGTTTACTAAACACGAACCATTAACCTTTACATCTGGGAAGTGATGTTCCCCAGAACAAAAAAAAAAACAAAAGGCAAATGTCACTGCAACTACCGTACTCACCCGCCTCCCCGCCAATCGATAGCACGCGTAATTTTTCGTCAATTGCCCTTTTTTTATTAGATTTGATCGTTTTTTCTATTTCTTTTCCATTTTTATGCTATTAGACTTGATTAATTAGAATGACTCGTCCTATGTAAGCGACGATCAAGACTGCATTGAAATTGAAGAGAGAGGTCAGCCAAACCAAATGACTAAAGGACTTCCTACCTCACAAATCGCGCGCTCCAAGCGCTCCAATCTGCCATCGCAATCCAGCGATTCGCGGCGGGTGCGGCGTGCGCGACGCCATCTCCAGGGAGAAGTGCCCGGACCCAAAAAAGAGAACCATACTCCGATCGGGTTTGCGAAGCGTTGTGAACCGAAAAAGGCTGTTATGACCAGAAGCGAGCTCTTCTAATCCATTTTCACTCTTGACATCCTTTTTCCGAATTGGCCCTTTCTACGTGATGGATGCTCTTCGTAATAGTGTCCTGTTTTTGTTTTTGTAATAGTCCATTCAAGAGACCTTTGAATGCTCTCGCAGAGTTTTCATGGCTGACTTGATTACAGTTAAAGATGTGCGAAGTTGTCTGCTTGGGTGTGTTGTCTGCTATTGCAGACATTGCGTCGCCTTCGTGCACTCGCCCGAACACTCCCTTAACCGCCGTTCTTCCAATGTGAAACTCGTCCGACCCCCCTTTCCAGCTCTTTTTTGACCCTTTCTATTTCTTTTTGTTCATCTTTTTTTTGCGCTTTTTTCGTTGTTATCGCTTTATTCTAGTGTAGTTCTATGAATTCCCGTCAAATAGGGTATCCTAAATTTATCGTAAACGGTGCCTTTAAGAGTCCCCCATGATGCTTTCCCATAAATATCAGTACGCTGCATATCGCGGTAAAGACCGCCTTTTAAATCATATCCAAACCAAATTCCACGACTGCAACGTTGACTCCTTCGATTACTCAGAATTACTTGCTACTCGTCGATATATGTATATGTAAGTCCTCTTTGAAGAGAACTTTACATGAGTGGCTGATCTCCTAACAATAAGCCCTGAACAGCAGTGTGCAATCGGCGGGTGCACACGAAAAATAGACTACCGCGATGAACACAAATCAAAGCTGATGAAGTCGACCACTATCGATCGCTGCATTCTCAGCTGTGCTCCTACCACATCTCTTCGACTCCCTTGGTGTTTGGACATAGCACGTCCGGAAGGATATCAAATTCTGGGCTCGGAGGCCTATAAATGATGGTTTGGCTGTACCAAAGTTCATCAATGGGTAAAACCTTAATGTAGATTCTTGATCTAACAATAAGCTCCACTCTTTGTAGCGACCGGTAACCTATCACCATGTTCGCTCAACCTTTGCTTGTTCCAACATTTATTCCCATCCGGCTCGTCGTTGCTCAATTTTACTTGATTCACCATGGCTCTTTTAGTTTTGCTCAGGCTACGCCCATCTTGCACACACTCCGCCCCTGTAAGTTAAACAAACTTCTGAAGCCTACAGTCAACGTTGTAGTTTAGCCGTCTGTTTTTTCTTTTTCATCTTTTTTTTGTTTTCATCTCATGCTTGGAGTTTCTAGTTCCACGAGCGCATGAGTTATGGATTTTCAACAATTATGCAAACACAGATAAAAACACATCGACAAACTTACACACACACCGACACTCAGCTCACTATATTTGGTGGAACAGGTTTAAAGATGACGGTTCTGTTAGTGTTGTGTTGTTAGGGGTTGAAAGCCTAGATAAGAAAACGAGCGGGACAAGCAGTCCTCCAACTTGAGGTACCTTGGCGAATCTCTTGCATTTTCATAAACATCTAGTTCTACTTAAGCTCAAAGTTTTAACAGCTCTTATACAATTTCTTCATTTCTGCTTTACAACTCGATAAAAATCAAAGCTACCTAACCATGCTGTTATTCTCCCTTGAGTTTACTCATTCTCATAAAAATATTCTTAGCACGAAAGTTGGACACGCCAAAACTTCCTGAACCTACCGGCTAACCTCAGCAAATTAAGATGTATTGAGTTGTACAAAGTACAGTACAAAATTAGTACAAAGGTGTACAAAGTTGAGTACAACAGTTTGTACAAAAAGACAAGATTTTCTTTGCTTTAGCAAGCAATAATGGTTGGAGACACCACAGCCGACCTGAAAATGGGCCGAGTGGCTGGACTAAGAGCCAGCGTAGCCGTGCTGACTGGTGTCGGCAATCGAGACACACTCAAGGAATATAGCGACTACTTTGTAAGTACACTTTACAGAATGATCGTCATATGATCGTGTGATGAGCTTGGAATAATAACTTAATTTTCAGCTCGAAAACGTCAGTGAATTGCCGTTGTTAATAGCCAAGATCAATGAAAACACCAAACGAGGTTGAAATGAAAAACCCGTCGTCGTCAAATCACCAGTTTGTCTCTACCGTCTCCACTAGTTCCAGTTTCCACTACTAGCTCTTGCTACTGACCAAACGTACGGTCTACCTTTAACAGAACCACTAGCCCTAACTAACTCTGGACAGGAACAGGCTGAACGAATTCCAATGCATTTCAAAGAGAGTTGCTTTAGTAAGGAAATGCAGGAAATTTGGCTTACAGCATGTCCCTGGCGCCCTGATCTCGTACCTAACTACGTCGTTTAGCCCTTAAAACTGGTTTTGAATATTTATAGCGCACACTCCCGTGCTATCCGAGTAAAGTCAAGCACTGGTCTGTGCTTCTCCATCCTATGTCCTCTTACCACTAATCACGGTACTTTTTATTGTTACCTATGACAGCAGCCTGCAATTGCCTATCAACAGCACATTCAAGGAAATGTCCCTTCGCCCGTCTCACGTATTAGGCGCGCCGAAGAAAATACCACGATCAGGGGCACCGGTTGAGTGGCTGGGACCGGGGGACGGTACGAACGTGCGTCCGAGGGTGCGCGCGGCAAAAGGCGCGGCGAAGTTCGTGACGATTTGTATGACTGCAGCGTCAATTTCCGGGGCACAAACTCGAAGTAGTGTTGTTTAGTAGGGTCAGATGATCCTCCTAATCCACTCTATTTCAAATTTGGGCCCCAATGATAGGCGCTAAAGTCGCTCAAACCATTACGAACTTCGCCGCGCAATTTGCCGCGCGCATCCTCGGACGCACGTTCGTACACATACCCGCTGGGACCATACGCATGTTGGTATGCAATTGCAGAACGCTGTCACGGATAATTGCAAATAACGCCTCGACTAACCCGGTGTGCCAAAAAGGGGCATCTGACACGAGTTTTCGCCCTACACATGTATCTGTAACCCTTATCTTCAAGTAACCAGCTTCGCTCTAGAGCATCCTCTCCGCCGAACCAACATTGTTGCGCGCCACCCTAATGCCTCATGTCTGGAAGTGACGGTACAGAGCGGGAGTGTTATAGACAATATATTTCCTTCCACGGCATATCCTTATTTCAATGCTCAAATTTCCATCCGGCAAATGTATGGAGCATGGAAAAGAGCCGTTGTGCAAGGACACGGGGTGTATGGTGGGGTAGCAAAGGGGGTCATGTGAAAACATTAGAGAAAATTGGAAGGTACCTAACCAAAGTCAAGAAGCCGCACGCACGCGTGGAAGATGCTCTGCCTTCCGCTCTGTAGCACTCGTCCATTTTTAGTACCCACTCATTCAAACTTTTTTTCTGTACATGTCACTGCACTTACCGTGGCTAAATTAGAATGCGTTACAATACCAATGTGTAACGTTTAGGGGCGTCATGAATCGGATTCCAATCCATTCTTAGGTAATACTACATAAACGATATTCCCATTCCACATGATATATAAATTCATGGTCTGTATAGTCTCAATTTCACTTCAACCAACTGTACATATGAATTAGTGTCTCCTTCACAGTAATGTAGATGAGTGAAGCTAATGATGGCGTTATATTCTTTAAAAAACAGGTGAATAAATCAGTTTTTCAGTCGTTTCACACGCANTGGACTATATCGAAAACGTAATCAAAGCAAAATTGAAAACACATTTACCAATGTTGCCCCTTGTACACATCACAGATGTGTTGAAGGCGGACACATCTTGTAATTACGCTGATCCATGATCTGGAGCTGCCATCGACTCATTAATTGAAATTCTAAGCAAAAATCAGGATAACTCCACGATCTCAGTTTGTATTTGGGGAAAAGAATCATTTAGAAATGTTAAGAATATGAATGGTGAGGTATTATTCAAATACCGAATACAAGCACTATGATATCGGACAGGTACTTCATAGGACTAGACTAATGGGCGTTGAACAAATTGTAGGCTACTGAGATAGCAAAAAAAGGACGAAACAGAGAATAAAACCAACCAATTCTTTTAGTATTTCATCACTTCTCCTAGCGATAAAATCGGACTAGGTAGCAACAAAGATTCGCTATGCAGCTGATTTAAAAACATGAAGATAAATGTTAAGGTCACTGTCCATGATGGATAAGACGAGATATAAACGCCTGGAAAGGTCCAAAACCTGCCCTACAAGTTTCAACATTTCTCCCGATTTCAAACAACGATTGCATGCTATTGTTCGTAGAGAAGAAGATCTATCGAAATGTTTTTTTTTTGCCAAATTAGCCCTGTATGAATCACCATGTATCAGTCCAGATAATTATTTTCAATCACTTCTGATAAAAGAAATTCATTAGAAGCATAAATAATCCACATTTAATACAGTCAATTACATTCATATCTGCGAAGACTCCTCTCTTTTCCGCTTTCTGCTGTAACTTGGTGGCAGTGAAGGTATCAACATTGGATCGCATGGTAAGGGGCGCTCCTGAAGTTTGAAATGCATGACGAAATATTTTGAAAAATCTAAACTTTTTTTGGCGTTCTTTCAATGTTACAGAATCTCAAGAATTTCAATTTGAACCATCATTTATTGGAGAGGAAATGCGGAACGTCGAATACCTCACCATGAAGAATGGATGCATCAAGGCATCGGCAGCGCTGATTCTCTTTTTTGGGTCATACATGAACAATGCATTCAGTAGATCAATAGCTGATGGAGATGCCGACTCAAAAACCATCTAAATTTGCAATTTAACATCATACCAGAGCAAAATAGCCGGCAGGTATTTGATAGGACAGAGATATGAGGACCCGAAAGCTATGAAGTCCCTGAAGGTTTCATTCTAGAGTTACAACATAGCGAAACCAAACCTTGACATTGTTGAAGGGCTGCACTTTCAATGTAAAATTTTCTAGTAACGGCATCGAATCAAGTTCACTCCAAATCTTCGTTGTTGGTGTACCAAGAAGCCCGATAATTTTGTCGATCTGTAAAACACAAGCATCGATTATTGGCTTTTGACTGCGGATCTCCTTCACTAAGGGTTCCTGCATTAAAGTATATATCAGCCGGTTAGCGACCAGGCTAGGTAGGGCGTCCCTGGGTGGCGGATCGGGGAGTTAATCGCCAACCAAAAGTTGCCAGTACTGTCCACAGACGCAGGTGGATGCAGGCGAAGGACTCGCTGATTCTGCTGTGGTGTTCTATGTACCCTCTATTTCTCGCAGGTGTATCCAATCATACGGGTGTGGAGAGTCTGCAGGTGCAGGTGGTATGCTGCCCATCGACTCAGCCAAAAGCCTGCGTTCGAGTGACTGGGAAGTAACTGAGAGGCAAATAGAGACCGTCTCCAAAAAACAAAGTCTCTTGACCACTTCGGGACCGCCAGACTAGCAGTCAGAATCAATTCAGCCCTCACGTTAGAACCTGGCAAGTTATCCGTTGGCTCAACTGCCAAAAACAGTAATATGAATGGGTCTCATTCCCTCCAACCTGAGGGAGCCAATACGGCAGCGTTGGGTAGGACCGCTCGGGAGAGGCTGCTAAAATCTCAGGGCCAAAACAGGCTGCCTAAAAGGAGAAGGACTAAGATGGCGATGTGTACGATGCACGGAAGCGTGTCTAGAGAACCTGACCATGCAAGCTAGGAGGATCAAGTACGATGTCATTGGACTGACGGAGACGAGAAGGCATCGCCCGCTGCACGCTGTTTGGGACTGAAGAAGAACCGTTGCTTGAAACATGCGACAGCAGAGGCGTCGGCAGCGTAGTGCCTTCGTCAATACGCACTTGGTCATGAACATCAATTCGTTTGAAAGCATAGCAACCCAAGTCGGACGTTCGCGATTGGAAGATGTGGATCAATCTCACTTCTGACCATATAAGTTGCCTACGCACCAACACCAAGCTACGAAAAGGAGGAGCTCGAAGCGTTTTATATGGATCTGGAGAGGCTCTACAGAAAAGACCATACCTTCTTTAAAGTCATCGTCGTTGATTTAAACGTCAAGATTGGCTCCAGAAGAACGGCTAAAGAGCTCTACGTAGCTCCATCCACATTTACGGAAAAGAATGAAATGAGCAGGATGATAGGCTGTCGTGTCATGTCGACCCACACCATTCATTATAACTCGCAGTTCCAGAATCCCTCTTATTTGCGATGGACATGGGAGTCACCCGGCGGGCAGTTCAATGATTAAATAGACAACGTCATCTCTAATCAGAGGTTTTGCCTGACTGGTGTCGTTGTTGTTCCGAAGTTCTTACGGAATCGGACCATCGTCTCCTGCGCGCTAGTTTCTGTTTGTCAGCGCGTAGAGAGAGAGGTGTGAAGGGAGATAGAATACGAAGCCCCAAAACTTTCATCAACTGGGACCACTTTGCTTCCCTCGCGAGTTTGTGGGTGGAGGATACCGCCGGTTCGTCGAACATCTTCACAATTGTGCTAGGAATGCAGAAAATCTACAAGTAGCCAAAAGACGACTCTATTCGAAAATTACGCCAGCATGGAATCACGCGAGCTGCAGGCAATCGTCAACAAACGTACGGACCTGCGAAGCTATGCAGAGGAGCGGTAAAGGAAGATCTGACAGAGAGAAGAGCAGTAGTTATGGACGAAGCAACTGAGGCCGGAAAGAGCAATATTAGAACTCACCGAAGTTTTGCCAACTACTAGATCAGGATGACTTCCATTCGTCGTAATGACGGAACAGTTACTGCACCTCCAAGGGCAATGGAGAAGTCATCTACGACCTCCACTCGCATTTCTTCAACAGCCACGTCTATCTCCCCGCACACCATCTTAGGCAAGACGAATATATAGCTACTTTGGTTCTCCCTTCCGAGATTCGACATGCCACCATGCCGATAAAGAGTTGTACGGCCCGCTCCCGATAGGATCAAACCAGGACAAATAAAGAGTCTTCTACCACTTATCGTGCGAATTCTGGCTAGGCTCTTTACGCGGAACCTGCCGGAATGCCTATGAAGTGGAAAATCAGCAAGACTGTGCTGCTGTGTAAATAGGGAGATCCAGACGATATTGGCAATTGTCGCCAATTTCTTTGCTGCCTGTAATCTACAAGCTTTTCTCACACGCGACATCCTGAACAGGTTTAGCAAGATGAAGAACAGCCATGCGAGCGAGGAGGGTTTCAGAGAGGGTTCAGAACAATCGACCATATCCACACCTTGACAAGACTAAGTGAAGTATCGCGAGAGTACAAAATGCCGCTATTTCTAACATTCATCGATTTGAAGAGAGCCATTGATACCGTCGAGACAAAAGCGGTAACGGAAGCCCAGAACAACCAGGGTGTTCCTATTCAATGTATAAGAATGCTTCGTGAGCACTACGACGACTCCACGTCCACGATTTCACCATTCTACAAGGACGTTAATCATTGTGAAGAGAGATGTCCGGCAGGGCGGTACCATCTCGCCCAACTTTTCAGTGCCGCTCTCGAGAATATCATGCGTCATTTGGAATGGGAAGACTTGGGAGTGGAGGCCGACCCGACCGACGGACGCTATTTACATAAGCTCCCTGCTACGACTTCATGCTTATACATAGTACCGTACAGCGAGCAGGCGGAACGGATGCTGGAACTGTTTGACAGTGCTTGCGGAAAGATCGGCCTGACATTGAGCTTAGTGAAGACAATGTTCATGAAAAACGGATTGGAACCTGCTCCTTTCGAACTCAACGAAACGAATATTTCCGAATGCTCTAGCCATATGTACCTGGGTCGGGAAATCAACATGGTTAACGTCCCAGTTTCGCCTCTGTGTAGAAAGAAACGAGCCGCGTGGGGAGTATTTGAGAATTTGGAGGGAGTAGTGAAGAAGACAAAGAATATCCGCCTCCCGGTCACCTTTTTGGCATTGCTGTCTTCCTGCTTTGACGTGCGCCTCAGAGATCTGGGCTCTACGAAAGCAGGATGAGCATGCTGTCAGCGTTACTCAACGCGCTTTGGAAAGAACGATGCTCGGAATTTCCCTAGACGCGCAAGTGCAGGAGGAAATCCGGAGTTCCGAGCTCCGCCATCGAACGAGGATCAGGTGCCGCTAATTACGCCAGAAATCGAAGATCAGGTGGGCCGGACACGTAATGCGGTACAGTAATGACCGTTGGACCAAGGCGGCCACTGATTGGATCCTTCGGGATGTCAACTGAATTCTCGGACGGCCGCCAACGAGATGGTTAGACTTCTCCACGGAAGCGCTGAACGAAAGGAATGCTAAGCCTCGTGTCCCTGAAGCGAGAACGATTCACTAAAAAACTCTGGCTCGCGACAGGGACAAGGACATTGGCGCCCCCTCGAGGAAGCCGATGATCAACGGGACGGCAGGTGACAGGCGAC